AGGTAAGACAGAATGTAGGATTGCGGATGAGCAAGGAGGTTTTAGAGTGGGTAGGGGATGTGTAGATCAAATGTTTACATTGAAGCATATGTGTGAGTAGTATTTAGATAAAGGTAGGGAAGTTTTTATTGCATTTATGGATTTAGAAAAGGCATATGATAGAGTAGATAGGGGAGCAATGTGACAGATGTTGCAAGTATTTGGAATAAGTGGTAAGTTACTAAATGCTGTAAAGAGTTTTTTATGAGGATAGTGAGGCTCAGGTTAGGGTGGGTAGAAGAAAGGGAGACTACTTCCCGGTAAAAGTAGGTCTTAGACAGGGATGTGTAATGTCACCATGGTTGTTTAATATATTTATAGATGGGGTTGTAAAAGAAGTAAATGCTAGGGTGTTTGGGAGAGGGGTGGGATTAAATTATGGGGAATCAAATACAAAATGGGAATTGACACAGATACTTTTTGCTGATAATACTGTGCTTATGGGAGATTCTAAAGAAAAATTGCAAAGAGGTTAGTGGATGAGTTTGGGAGATGTGTGTAAAGTAGAAAGTTGAAAGTGAACATAGAAAATAGTAAGGTGATGAGAGTGTCAAATGATTTAGATAAAGAAAAATTGGATACCAAATTGGGGAGGAGGAGTATGGAAGAAGTGAATGTTTTCAAATACTTGGGAGTTGACATGTCGGCGGATGGATTTATGAAGGATGAGGTTAATCATAGAATTGATGAGGAAAAAAGGTGAGTGGTGCGTTGAGGTATATGTGGAGACAAAAAACGTTATCTATTGAGGCAAAGAAGGGAATGTATGAAAGTACAGTAGTACCAACACTCTTATATGGGTGTGAAGCTTAGGTTGTGAATGCAGCAGCTAGGAGGTGGATGGAGGCAGTGGAGATGTCCTGTCTAAGGGCAATGTGTGGTGTAAATATTATGCAGAAATTCGGAGGTTGAGTGTGGAATAGGAGAAGGTGTGGAGTTAATAAAAGTATTAGTCAGAGGGCAGAAGAGGGGTTGTTGAGGTGGTTTGGCCATTTAGAGAGACATGGAGAGTTTTTAAATCTGTAGGAGAAGGAAGGCAGGGTAGGGGTCGTCCTCGAAAAGGTTGGAAGGAAGGCGTAAGGGAGGTTTTGTGGGCGAGAGGCTTAGACTTCCAACAGGCGTGCATGAGCGTGTTCGATAGGAGTGAATGGAGATGAATGGTATTTGGGACCTGACGATCTGTTGGAGTGTGAGCAGGGTAATATTTAGTGAAGGGATTCAGGAAAACTGGTTATTTTTACATAGCCGGACTTGAGTCCTGGAAATGGGAAGCACAATGCCTGCACTCTAAAGGAGGGGTTTTGGAATATTAGCAGTTTGGAGGGGTATGTTGTGTATCTTTATATGTATATCCTTCTAAGCTGTTGTGTTCTGAGCACCTCTGCAAAAACAGTGATTATATGTGAGTGAGGTGAAAGAGTTGAATGATGATGAAAGTATTTTCTTTTTGGGGATTTTCTTTCTTTTTGGGTCACCCTGCCTTGGTGGGAGATGGCCGACTTGTTAAGGAAAAAAAAGCACACTTCCTAATTTCCACATTACGAATTCTCTGCATAATATTTACACCACACATTGCCCTTAGACAGGACATCTCCACTGCCTCCAGCCTCCTCCTTGCTGCAGCATTAATCACACTTAAATTTGGAAAAATTACAATACAAAACACAACACATACACAAATAACCCACACTTTGGAAGCTGAAACTTATGACAATGTTTCGGTCTAATTTAGACCGTTAACTAGTCACATAGAGCAGCACAACGGTGAGCCACAATATGTAACAGGAGAAACGGGGACAGGAGTGGTTGAACTGGAACAGGGAGTAATAATAATGTATAGAAATAGTATAACTGTGGTAGAGGTGGCAATAAGAAAGTAGCGATAGTGAAAAAAGGGGCACAGAGTGGCTTGTAGGTGAAGAAATAGTAGCAATAGTAATAGTGGAGGCAGTCTAGGGAACAAGAGAACAGAGGAACACTGCAGGAGAGTTAATGTCCCACGGGGAGGGGGACAACAAAAATCACTGTGGGACAAAACCCTATAGGACAGGACCCATCTAGGTAGAAGACAGGAAAGTCAAAGAAATTGTAGGGAAGGTGAAGAGGTAGGGAGGAGAAAAAAATAAGGTTAAGTCATAGGTGTTCTGAAGTTTGGAGCATTTGACAATGTAACAGAAACAAAGCCATATTAGGAATAGTGTGTATAAAGGAATGCTTCAACAAGATGGTGTCTGTAAAGGTTATGAGTAAGGTGGACAGTTTCGACAGAGGACCATTTAATAGGATGACTGTGATCTCTAACATGACAGAAAAGAGCACTGTTTGTGTCGGCAAAGCTAATACATCTTTTGTGCCTTTTAAGACTGTAAAAGTGAGTGTCCAGTTTCTCCAAAGGATTGGAGAGGATAAGAACAGGAAATGTAATAGACTCTAGAAGCATCAGTGACAGAAGGAGAGGTATGAACGAGATTACTACGAAGAGTATTAGTTTGGTGAAAATAATGTTTTATGTTTAAAGAATGGACAGTGTTGCTAAAATTCAGTGGCGTTGCTAGGGTTGGTGTCACCTGGGTGGCATCTTTAGTGTCAACTACATGAAATCCAAGGATGGGGGAAGGGGGGAGTAAACTTCAGTAACGTCACTACTGCATGACCAGTTACTAATGTTTAGCAATGAGAACGTTTAAGGGCCATAAACCGAACAGGAGAATACTTCCCAACTTTATTAATGATAAAATAAATAATCGTATAATATTGAGGAAACAAACTCAAATACCACTTTGATTACAGGCAACAGTTACTACATTTATTCAACTTCAACAATGCAAAAAAAAAAAAAAAAAACTTGAAAAATAAAGGAAAACACTGCAATATCAGAGAAACACTAGTTCCGACTTGACCTTGAGCACAGGTAACATCTCAGTAAATCTGATTTTACACTTCCTTGCCTTCAGTCCTGCAAAATCATCTATCACATCATCAAAATCAATGATTTTCCCTATATAGGCCTATATGTATTCTGTAATCATATAATAGGCTATATAGAAACAATGGATTCTTCTCTTATGTTACTTCATCACTTTTGGGCATGAATGTCACCTTCTTTAGAGGCTCTATGGTGTCACCCCTTGATGGTGTCACCCCTTGATGGTGTCACCCCTTGATGGTGTCACCCCTTGATGGTGTCACCCCTTGATGGTATCTCCCCTTGATGGTGTCACCCCTTGATGGTGTCACCCCTTGATGGTGTCACCCCTTGATGGTGTCTCCCCTTGATGGTGTCACCCCTTGATGGTGTCACCCCTTGATGGTGTCACCCTTTGATGGTGTCATCCCTTGATGGTATCTCCCCTTGATGGTGTCACCCCTTGATGGTGTCACCCCTTGATGGTGTCACCCCTTGATGGTGTCTCCCCTTGATGGTGTCACCCCTTGATGGTGTCACCCGGGGCGGGCCGCGCTCCCTCCTCCCTTACGACACCACTGCTAAGATTTAGGAGACTGAAAATATTGGGAAGGCAAATGACAGGAAATTTCACGAGAGAAGAGTTTGGGAAAAAATCAGTTGCGCTACTTCTACAACTATTAACTACCATTGCTACCTTATTACTATTACTCCAGTTTTACCACTGCCGTCCCCCAACCCCTTCCCTTTTCTTATATAGTCTGGCTTCCTCGCCTTCGCTCGTCTCAGTCACCAGTTAACAGTCCAAGTCGGACTGAAATGTTATAAGTTTCAGTCTCCTAAGTCGTTATTCTCCAAGAAGCTTAGCGCTTCTTTTTGATAATAATAATAATAATAATAATAATCTACACTGACGACTCAGCACGAACTTTCTCTCTTACGTCTTCAGCTGCTGTCTTAAACCCCTATCACTCAGTCCTAGTAGGGGAGCTCTTTGCCATTCACCAGGCTTTAATTTTCTTCCTTCCTCCTCAGCCTGTGGTTCTCTTCTCTGAATCTCAGTCTTCCCTGGCACTTCTGTGTTCTGCCCGTCCACGATCCCTTTGTTTCCTTATCCAGCAGACGCAGCTTCTTCTGCACTTCTTGCTCAGTTCGGGTTGAAGCATCTCCCTTCAGTGGGCACCAGCAGATGTTGGCATTCGGGGCAGTGAAGTGGCTGATCAAGAGGCCTCCCTCGCACACACACTCCCTACCATTTTCCCTTCCCTTTGCACTGGACGGCAGTGATTTCAACAAAGGATGTTTGGAGGGAAATCCGCCGTTTTTAGCAGGGAGATCTGATATGCTCCCTCTTCTTCGGCACTGAGCTCAGTCAGATCTTTTAACGGCCCCTGCTCTTGGGCTCGCCATTCCAGTCGCTCAGTAAATGTTACACTGACTCACCTCCGGGTTGGATTCACGACTGTCAGCTCATCTGCACCGCCTTCGGATAATGAACTCTCCGTTCTGCCCGTGGTGTCCCTCACAGCCTGAGACAGTGGAACACTTCATACCGTGCTGCCCACGTTACCACTCTGCATGGGCTGTCCTCCGTGCACACATTCGGGGATACAATCTTTGGCCCTACCTCTCCTTCTCAATAGTGAGGCATTTGACCCTCTAGCCCGTCAGGAGATCCTGGCCTGTACCTGCGCCTTCTTGTTGGCTTCAGGGCTCATTGGAAACATTTAATACGCAAATTTATTAGTCTACCTCCTTCCGCTTTGGTTAATATTCTTTTTTCGGGCACTGGAAGGCAGGGCTCGATACTGCGTATGCTGTCAGTGGCCCTATAAATCCAACACCAACCAGTGTGGGTTATTTGTGTATTTTCCATTCACTGTATTATGCCTTTTTATTCTTCACAATACAAAACAAATATTAGACTGAATTTTTAGTTTTAAACAAAGCAAATTTATGCTTCAAACTGATGCCAGATGAGATTTTTTTAATGGAAAACTCATTTATGTTATACATATATACATATGAAAGCAAAATCTAAATATTGAGTACTCACTTTGCAAGCATCTTTGTCCTTCTCTCCTCCAGCGCAAGTAAAAGATTTATGTAGTTGAAAGTAGCGTCCAAGTCTTGTACGTCGTAGGCGTGTGACACAGTCACTGTAGTTGACTAATGGAAGTGTCACACTTTTCATGATCTTCTGGTACTCTCCATTTTCTGTTCATAGGAATACAAATTTATAGTTGGAAAGTATTATCTTGTACTATTATAAAATATGCAAACTAAATAAGTGTAAATTCCAAGGATGCCACTATAATAATGGAGTTTAAACTTAGAGCTGCCACTGTTTCCTAATCTGGTTTATGCAAATTTACTTGCAGTAATGCCATACTGATTTTCTTTCAAAATTGTATAATTGAATGCTGTATGACCCTAATGAGTTTAGCGCTTGGTTTTGATTATAGAAATAATATATAAGTGAGTGGGACTGAGAAGTAATAATAATAATAATAATAATAATAATAATAATAATAATAATAATAATAATAATAATAAGTCAAGGTGACCTGACATGACTAGGTTGGGTGCATTGGCTTAAGCCGGTAGGAGACTTGGACCTGCCTCGCACGGGCCAGTAGGCCTGCTGCAGTGTTCCTTCGTTCTTATGTTCTTAACAATAATAATGAACTGCGCCACCCTTACTTGGGTGTGGATGTCTCTCTTTCTCACCTGAGTATCAGTGACAAATTTCCCCCGTTCTCTCTGGGAAGCTTGTCATTACCTGCTATGCCCGCCGGGCACATTACAGGAGGGACAGCTATCATCGCCTTACTTTTAGCCATCTCCATTTTTCCGCTCTGCGGATAATTCTTTATCGGTTTTGGTGTGAAGCCGGTTACTGAACTCAGGTGCGGTGTGGGCGTCCCGCTCTCCTGGGCCTGGGCAAGGTGGTCCACCTGATCTAATTGGGAACTTTTAGCTCCTGTTTCTATTTGCATATAAACTCTCGTTCCTTTTTATTTCATCGCCCATCTTTGGGCAACATATCTTTTCCGTAAGGTGGCCCGTGGGCTAGTAGCGAAAGCTCTCGCTTCACACGGTGAGAGTCCGGGTTCGATTCCCGGTAAAGAGTGAGAACATTCAGCGTATTTCCTAACACCAGTTGTCCATGGTCATCCAACAGCAAATATGGGTGCCTGGGAGTTTGTCGACTGGTGTGAGTCGCATCCTGGGACAAAATTGACCTAATTTGCCCGATATGCTCTGCATAACAAGGAGCTTTTTATATGTATGTCATTGATATCAGCTAGAACTGTATACCTTGTACATGTACTTGTAGAAATAAAGATATCAATATTATTATTCGGTCATTTTATTATTGTTCATCGGGAAGCCTGGCTTGATACGGCATAAGTTGTCAATGGCCCTGATAAACCCAACAACGAAAGAAAGAAGAAAAGACTGAAAGTGAGGAATATGACAACATATGGTAAGAGGAGAATGAGAAAAGAACAGATTACAGTGCTTATAAATTACATAAAATCTGGCTCTAATGATGCAACATCCCAGCAATTACAGGAACAGCTGTTAAAAATTGACCACTGTCTGGAAAATTTTCCAGCTCCTGCACCCAACATCTTGCTCCTGGGGGATTTCAACTTAAGGCACCTAAAATGGAGGAATATAGCAAACAATATTGTTGCAGTAATAACACCAGGAGGCAGCTCTGATGAAAACTCACACTCACACGAGCTTTTAAATCTCTGCACAAAATTCAATTTAAACCAGCAAATAATAGAGCCTACTAGACTGGAGAATACACTAGACCTCATCTTCACTAACAATGATGATCTGATAAGAAATGTCACCATATCAAAAACAATATACTCAGATCACAACATAATTGAGGTTCAGACATGTATGCGTGGAGCCCCAGACCGACATAATGAGACTAGTCACGAGGGAGCATTCCCCAAAATTTCAACTTCAATAACAAAAACATAAAGTGGGCCCAAAAGAAAACCCAAAGTCCTAACCGATATAAGCTGGGAAGATATACTAAGCAACCAGCCCCCAAAACGTATGCCTAGAAAGATTAACTTGGTGGCACTCGATGTATGCAAAAGGGGCTTATTCTCTAAGAAAAAGGAGTAGATTGTAAAATAAAAAGGGAGACAGGCGCTCCCTTTACAGGCGACGGAAAGAATAACAGAGCGGCCTTAAAAGAGGTCAATATATCTGAAATGCGTAGGGAGACACTGATCAGAGAAATAGCAAGCATCGAACTTAAGCTAAAGGAATCTTATAGGAGTCAGGAATCGCGGGAAGAACAAAAAAGCCATAAATGAAATCGAAAGAAACCCAAAGTATTTCTTCTCCTATGCCAAATCAAAGTCGAGAACAACGTCCAGTATTGGGCCCCTACTTAAACAAGATGGGGCTTCACAGATGCCCGCAAGGAAATGAGTGAGCTACTCAAGTCCCAATATGACTCAGTTTTTAGCAAGCCCCCTAACCAGACTGAGAGTCGAAGATCAAAATTTTTTTTTTTATGAGAGGCCACAAAATTTGGTTAACACAAGCCAATCCGATGTTATCCTGACCCCAAATGACTTCGAACAGGCGATAAATGACATGCCCATGCCTCTGCCCCAGGGCCAGACTCTTGGAACTCCGTGTTCATCAAGAACTGCAAGAAGCCACTATCACGAGCCTTTCCATCCTATGGAGAGGGAGCATGGACACGGGGGTCGTCCCACAGTTACTAAAAACATCAGACATAGCCCCACTCCACAAAGGGGGCAGTTAAAGCAAACAGCACGAATACAGCGATAGCACTAACATCCCATATCATAAAAATCTTTGAAAGGGTCCTAAGAAGCAAGATCACCACCCATCTGAAACCCATCAGTTACACAACCCAGGGAAAACATGGTTTAGAACAGGTCGCCCCTGTCTGTCTCAACTATCGGATCACTACGACAAAAGGTCCTTTAAAAGCACTAGAAGACACAAAGAATGCAGATGTAATATATACAGACTTTGCAAAAGCCTTCGACAAGTGTGACCATGGCGTAATAGCGCCCCAAAATGCGTGCTAAAGGAATAACAGGAAAAGTCGGTCGATGGATCTATAATTTCCTCACTAACAGAACACAGAGAGTAGTCGTCAACAGAGTAAAGTCCGAGGGCAGCTACGGTGGGAAAAACTCTGTTCCAAGGCACAGTACTCGCTCCCATCTTGTTCCCATCCTCATATCCGACATAGACAAGGATGTCAGCCACAGCACCTGTTTTCCTTTGCAGTGACACCCGGGAAACTGCATGGGCAGTGTCTTCCATTGCAGACACTGCAAAGCTCCAGGCGGACATCAACCGAATCTTTCAGTGGGCTGCAGAAAACAATATGAAGTTCAACGATGAGAAATTTCAATTATCAGATATGGTAAACCGAGGAATTAATTTTTCATCAGAGTACAAAAAAAAATTCTGGCCCCAAAATAGAGCGAAACACCAACGTCAAAAGGGCCTGGGAGTGATTATGTCGGAGGATCTCACCTTCAAGGACCATAACATTGTATCAATCGCATCTGCTAGAAAAATGACAGGATGGATAATGAGAACCTTCAAAACTAGGGAGGCCAAGCCCATGATGACACTCTTCAGGTCTCTTGTTCTATCTAGGCTGGAATATTGCTGCACACTAACAGCACCTTTCAAGGCAGGTGAAATTGCTGACCCAGAAAATGTACAGAAAACCTTCACGGCGCGCATAACGGAGATAAAAAAACCTCAAAACTGGGAGCGCTTGGGTTCCTAAAACTGTTTTCCCTGGAACGCAGGCGGGAGAGATACATGATTATATACACCTGGAAATCCTAGAGGGACTAGTACGAACTTGCACCCCGAAAATCCCCTCACTACGAAAGCAAAAGGGCTTTGGGAGACGATGGGAACATCCCCCCAATGAAAAGCAGGGGGTGTCACTAGGCACGTTAAGAGACCATACAATAAGTGTCAAGGGCCCGAGACTGTTCAACTGCCTCCCAGCATACATAAGGGGGATTACCAACAGACCCCTGGCAGTCTTCAAGCTGGCACTGGACAAGCACCTAAAGTCGGTTCCTGACCAGCCGGGCTGTGGCTCGTACGTTGGTTTGCGTGCAGCCAGCAGCAACAGCCTGGTTGATCAGGCTCTGATCCACCAGGAGGCCTGGTCACAGACCGGGCCGCGGGGGCGTTGACCCCCGGAACTCTCTCCAGGTAAACTCTTCAGGTAAAGTGAGATTGACACAACAAACTTTACCAATAAAACAAATAAAATAGATTGACCATAATATTAAACTACCAAAGAGTAAATAAGGAGAAACTTCATACTCTTCAAGGGAGGCCTTGATGCTGGTAAAGGGCTCTTGATCTAAAGAATTAGAGCTAACCTCACTTTCCATGCATCAAATCCCACTGCCTCTCATCATCTGGGCGCTGCATGATCCCGCCCCAGTTCAGCTCTCCTCATATGAATTTAATTTAATTATGTATATATACTGTCAGACCTTCACTTGTAATCCCGTATTTCTATGCTCAATTTAGCTAACACAACACTATGGTCTGAATCACAGATGGAAATGGGATTTAAAAGTAGGTACACATTTGGAAAACAGAAATAAGCACATGGCTGTGTATCTGCATACACATTCCTCCCTCCCCGATTTCTGTCAGTTTATCAACATAAAATACAGTAACAGAGCTGTTGATGTTTACCATAGAGAAAACATGGGCATAATTTTTAAAGGGGTGGACCGGTAAGCCAGGGACAGGCGTCGGTCATATGACCAAAAGCTCCAGCGGCGGGTAATCGTGTGACTAAGACCCTCGTCAGGAAACACTTCTCTTGTTTCCTAACAATCTTACCTTAACCATAGATGATTGGTAGAAACCTGAGAAAAGACTAGTAACAAACACCTCCATTAGTACAGAAATTGATCATAAAATGTTGACTGCCCCTGACACTGCATTTGAGCCAAAGGTCTCATTTTTACTGTCACCTCCCAAAATGACAATCTACACAAGAAAATTCTGTGATTTAGATAGCTGGCATGTATAAGGAAAATAGTAAATAATGCCTAAGTTCTGATGAGAAACATTCAATAGCCATTTGAAAAGAACATCTTCAATAATATCTCTTATTTTTTCTTGTGTTTATGTCCCTTATCACAATGATCCTTCATCATGCAGTTGATCGGGTATACTATAGCACCTCTGGTCAGAGTGGCCATGAGATCATTAGTTCTTGGTGAATAGTTATCTTTTATCCAAGTATCTTAAATGTTATCTACAGGGGGGAAATTTCCTTTTTCATGCTGATTGTTGGGGAGGGGGAAAAACACAACATTTTTTGGAATTTTTGGGCCCCCAAACCCAAAATTAAGAATTCTCAACACCCCCCAAAACCCCTTTGACCCCCCCCCATTGATGACACATTTAAATTGTGGTTCACGCAAAAAGTCCTGAGCTATGCAAAAGGGGCCCTTTTGATGTGTGATGCAAAACTGCACTTCTTCCTGCAAGACAGTGGAAGTTTTTTTTACATTTTAACATTTCGGGGGCTTTTCATTCCGTTTATTTTTTTATCGCCCAAAATCCCTGCGAAATTCTTGATCAAAATTTTGTTTTAATTTGGGGTGTTTAAAGTTCTGTAAATAATTTTCCCTTTCTCATTTTTGCCTTAGGAAAAAAATTTTTAAATTTTAAAGGTCAGTTTCTAAGTTGGGCAAAAAATTTTTTTTAATCCCCATAAATGTTTTAAAAAATTATACACTAAATAGGCTGTAACGGGCCTGGTTGATCGGGCTTTGATCCACCGGGAAAGGCCGGGTCACAGCCCGGGGCCCCGGGGGGCTTTTGCCCCCCGGAAAAATTTTTTCCGGGGTAAACTAAGGTGTTATAAAAAATATGTAAAAACATCTTTTTTTATTTCCATTAACTAAATTAAGATTTATTATTTTTACTTCAAATGATAAAAACCCATTTAGGGAAAAATTTTTATCCACTACAAAATAGATTAATAGGTTTGAGTTTCTAAAACATGGCAATCAAGACAAAAAACTTTGCCCTGCTCTCTTTTCATAAATGACCATCCCCAACTGGCTTTTTTGGCTTTCAATTAGGAAACCAGTTTTGTGTAATAATTAAAAGCTCCTTGTTTTCTATTATCATGAGGATGAAAACCCAAACTTTGTTTTTGTTTAATTTTTTTTCCACTTCCCCTTATTTTTTTTTTTTAACAAAATGGGCCGTCTCCCACCAAGGCGGGGGCGGCCCAAAAAAAAAAAAACACTTTTTTACCATTCACTCCCTACTGTCTTGGGCCCCCGGCGCACTTACACTACAGTTATTAAAAAAATGCAAAACCCAACACCCCCTTCAGAGGCAGACTTTTTTCTCCAGGACTCAAGGCCGCCTACTTTTGGGTTCCCCTTTAAACCCCTTAAAAAATGTTACCTTGCCCCCATTCCCCAAAAGCTCGTCAAGTACTAAAAACCATTTTTTCTCCATTCGCTTTATCTAAAAACGTCACCCCTGCTTGTGGAAGTCCCAAGCCCCTCGCACCAAAACCTTTACCCCCCCCCCCTTCAACCCTTTTCCCAGGATGCCCCTTTCCCGCCTTCCCTCCACTTTCGATTTTCACTCGAAATCATTTTTTTGTTCCCAAACCCCTCTTATGTCCGAACCCCTTTAAAAACCCCCCATCAGCCCTCCTTTAAATTTTTTAAAAATGTTCTCATATACGTTTCAATTTTAAACTCTTGGTCTAACACAAACCCCGCCTTTCCTAAAACCTCCTTGTTCAGTTGCCTTCCCGTTCTCCGTCTTGCTTAATTCTCTCAAAAAATAAAAATCTACACTTTACCAGGTATTACTCAAAAAGGGCTTATTCCCTTAAAAATTTTTGCCCCTCTCTTTTGTCCCCCTTTTCCTTTTTACAAAAAGGGAAATATGCACGCTCTCTGCCAATTCCCCCGGTAAAACCTTTTTCCCCCTTTCCCTACATTTATAATATAAAAAAAAAAAAAAAAAAAAAAAAAAAAAAAAAAAACCCCCCCCCCAAAAAAAAAAAAAAAAAAAAAAAAAAAAAATTAAAAAAACCCCCCCACTCCAACAAACTTTCCCCCTCCTTTTTTAAAAATTTTTTAAAAAATTTCCCCTTTCCCCCCTTTTTACCCCCAAGAAATCACAAAGGCCCTTCCCCCTAAAATTTATTCCCCTTTTAAAAAAATTCCCTTTAAAATTTTCCCTTTTCCCCCCTTTTCCATACCTGTAACTCCCATTTAATAACTTCCTCTCCCATTTTTAAAATGTCAAAAACCATTCGGGCCCCAGGCTTCCTCAAATTATTAAACCCACTAAAAACCTTTTTCCCTTTTTTTCAAAAAAAAATTTGTTTTAAATTCATTAAAACCCTTGCCTCTTTTTACTTGCTGCTTCTATTTTTCGTCTACCTTTTTTCTTCAGTGTAGTACCAAAATAAAAATGATCTGTTTACTGTGGCCCCTTTTAAAAAATATGTACATTTGAAGTCTTTTCCCAAAGTCTTTTTTTACCAATAAATTTTTAAAAACTTCACATAGGTTTTTTGCTTCCCCATCTATTGATATTTTACATGATTACAGCAAAAATTGTGTTAAAACCCTTTTTAAAAACATCAAGCAAGTCGACACTGCAAGGGATTTCCCCATACCCCAAGATGTTTATACACAAGAGACAATTTATAAAATAACAACTGTGCTGTTAGCCTGGTAATTTTTTATACAGTTTTTCGGGTTTTTTGTTTTAATTCTCATGAATATTGACAATGTAAAATACAGTTTAGGAAAACTAAATAATGAAAAGTTTCACTTGTACAAGAGGCTCGCTTAAGCAGCAGAGATCACTGGTGGTGAACAATATGTAGGAGAGGTGCTAAGTGAGGCAAACACTGAAAAGGTACAACAGATATAGAGTCAAATTTTTGGTGGACTATAATAGTATGTTTTATGTAGACGAATTGCCAAGGGCTTGCGTAAATATAAATTCCCACTGTTGTCTCACTTTTGGATGACTAACTCAGCCTTTGTCCACTTTATGCGGTGGCTATGAGTGTTATGGTATACTGCATCTGCATTATTGAAATTATTAACTCGGGAAAAACTTGTGTTAGTTTCTCCAACGTAGTTTGTTGTATCTCCAACAACAAATCACATGAATTTTCCAATCAGCACCCATCCTCCTGCTAGTATACTATATTTTTTCATCCCGCGATATTCACTTAACTACACGTAAAAACCTTCAGTTCAGGCAAAACTTTGTCATTATTAAAGTTTCATAAACTGCCCTGTATTTTTGTCACAATACTGTAGGTGTGTGTATATGATACCTTGAGGAAGAGCAGAGCAATGTCATGGTAGAGCGTCCGAGGGTGGTAGCGAGGATGCAGCACTACCTTCTGCACCATCAAGTCTTGGTGTGGCAGTGGCTCAATCTCTGTCTGTGTGTCCCACTCGCCCAGCCGCACCATCAGCGTAGTGTCTAAATACCTGCATGCACATCACACAGTTTTAATGGTATAACAAACTGGTAAAACTTTCCTCTTTTGAAAAACAATGAATACTAAATAAAAACATTTGTATAATTTTAAGCATCTTTGAAATTATGAGGTTGGCGAAGTGTTTTTTGAGTGAGATCAATTTTGATTATCTTTCATCCATTGCCCAGGAACTATATGACCACTACAGATTTAGGGCTTCCCATAAATATAATAAATGACAGGTGTAAGCACTCACCCTTGCACCTTGTGGGCAGCAGTGACGATGACCCGTGGGTGGATGAGAGTGCCACCCCCCACGAACCTTCTGATTGTCTTGCCCATCAGCTGCTCGATGGTAAGGACAGCAGACACCCAGGGAAACTCTCCAAACTGACTCTCTCCGCCATGGAACCCCAGGATACGTGCCTAGACACGCCACACACACACCTCATAAATTTGAGCTTCATGTTATGTAGTTTCCATACATTCAAGATATATAAAATTTAGCCCAGTCTATAAAAAAAGTTTCCTTTTGCTGTACATGTTCTTCGCTACCACGCAGATAAATAATCATGGGGATCAACAAGAGGGAAGTAGGCAAGTTTTTCTCTTAATTTTGGGGCAAAAATTTTGAGATAAAATAGTCTGTACCATTCATAACATATTAAAAATTAAATATGTTTTCTCGTCTTTAGTCATTCAATAGGCTTATATACACGAGTTACACATTTTAAAGTAATTCACACTATTGCTTATTATTATTATTATTATTATTATTATTATTATTATCATTATTATTATTATTATTATTATTATTATTATTATTATTATTATTATTATTATTATTATTATTAAAATTACTTGCCAATGCTAATAAAAGTCGTTTAAATTTTTTTTTATTTTCTATCCTGGTGCTAAATACTAAAACACACTAGTTATATTAGGATATGACAATGATCCTTTGTCTTATCCAGGCAGGAACAGCTAAGCGAATACACTCGCATCACTAGTGTACCGTACAACCATACACATCACTAAAACTTTCAATACTCACTCTATGTACTTGCTTGCACTCCACACAATACTTGCGTGTGAGAACTGAAGTTACTCTACTGGCCAATGCTAGACAGGCAAAGAGGGCTAACACTCCCGTCCCTTGGATCGAACTGAATTGCTTCCCATTTCCCAGATGCTATTTGATTTCATTGAGTAAAGCACTTCCCAGATGAATGATATAATGTAATAATCATTTCCACCCGTGTAGACTGTGCTTAATTTATTTTTATCGTCTTGAACCATTCCATTGATTATTCGTAGTGTCCACTTATAGATCAATATTATTTTTATTCCGAAACGTTTCGCCTACTCAGTAGGCCTCTTCAGTAGCATACTAGAGGAGACCAAAAATAAGCAGTGGTTTTGTCAATTTCATTTTCATCGACTTTAAATACTTGCATGAACTCTTCACACTTTCAGGAATATTTATTGCACTCACACACTTTCAATTATTACATTCACTTATAGAGTTCGGGACAAATTATATGCATCAGGACACTTCAATACTTATATTTACACCATGATTAATTAAAATTTACTGCATGTACGGGATAATAATGAGAGGACACTTGTCATCCTACTTCATGTTTAAAGAGTGGAACTGAGGGGCTTCCTGGGATTCACTCTGGATGATTTATAATCCAAATTTGGGGACCTTCAATGTAAATGGACAAATCACCTTATATATGTAATGAATTATTTTATTTTCCCCTTTATTAGGTGTAAGTTTATTTAAATTAAGAATTTTTCTGGGACTTGATTGTATTAAGTTGGGATGGGGTTGTGTAGATCGATTGTTTCAAAGGATTATTAATATAGCTTTCCAGTAAGCTATATGTCTAATACATTCAATATAAAAGTTAGTACATAAGCAAACTTACCATTAAAGTTGCCAAGATCGGTCATTTCCTTTTAAAGTCTTCCTTTTTTTAACCAACTTAACCCAGCGCCAGGAATATGCTCGAGGATTCTTTATTGTTTTTTCTTGAGGGGGAATTTTTGTAGGGGAAGGAGCTTAAAAAGAAGCAATTGAAGGTGTCAAGAGAGGCCTTGAGCTTGCTACTATCTGCAGCTCATAAGGACTGCCAATTTCCCCACGAGCCCCCTTTGAGGGCGGGGTAGATGGCAGTACAGTGGGCCTTAGCTTTTCTCTCTTACAGAAGCCCCGTGAGGGGCGGGGAAGGGATTGTGGGCTAGGGGGGGGCCTTTGGGGGGACACTTGGTTCCCAAATATGAGGGGTACTGTTACCTTACCTTTCACATGGGAGACCCTTAAGTTCTGAGAGGACTCCCCAGATAGGGAAGCAAGGCCGGGGTCACACTTTACTTGGGAAATGAAGGGCCGGGAGGAATACCGGCGAATAAAAAAAAAAAAAAAATAAAAAAAAAAAAAAAGAAGCAATTACTGTGAATGAAAGTCCTCCAGAAGGTCTGCCATAATTAGTCTTGAATCATTTCACGTTCATTTCATTGGACTGGCTTTGGATTTTTTTTTTTGTTTCCTTGGCTTCTTTACCTTAGGTTTTTCTTGTTACGAGTAAAATATGTGAAGATAATTCATTCAGTAGTTACTGGCAGCACAACAGGAGACAACAAGTGACCTATAACTCTAAGCTAAGAAAAATAAGAGATTACAAAGGGGATGTTTATTGAAGTCTGTCTTCAGAAACACAGGGGAAAATTGCTACATTCATTAACTTGTAATTTAAAACAATTTATGATAAATCAAATAACAAAAGGATTGTAAACCACGAGCTTCTTGCTCTGCTTTACTTGAATGTAGTCAAAAGGAATCTTCTTTCAACAACACCACACACACACTCAACACACACACACACACAACACACACACACACCCACACACACAACTCCACACACACACACACAAAACACACACACACGGATGTTAAGAGTATTTTCTTCAGTCATAGAGGTCGTTCAGGAAGTGGAATAGCCTTAACAAGTGATTGTAGTAGAGGGCAAGGGGAAAGGGGAAAACCCCCCCCATATTCATATGCTTTTTAGACGAGGTTTGACAAAGCTCTGGAAGCAGATGGAGAGAGAGAAGGACCTAGTAGCGATCAGTGAACTGGCGGGGCCAGGAGCCTGAGTCTCGACCCTGCAACCACAATTTGAGTACGTGAGTTTTACAAACCCACACCACACACCTACACTCTCTCTTTCTCTTTCTCTCTCTCTCTCTTCTTTCTCACTCCCTTCTCTCTCTCTTTCACACCACAATGAAGAAAAAAGCAGGTTTAAAGTTTTTTTAACTTTTACACTTGCTGGTTAAGTAGAACAAACATAATCACGTTTCAAGAAGATATTATTTATTTTAGACAAAGTACAAAACAAAAAAAAGACAAGTAAATAATATAGGAATTTTTTTTTACTATTCAGACCAGCGGCCACACAGAGAACAAGGAACAACAAAGGAAAGAACAAAACAAATTTGCACATGTTATGGAAACAGTTAAAGTGAGATTTTACGGGAATTATAGCACAAAATTATTATTATGAATAAACTAAAACAGCTTTCAAGTAACGGAAAAAGCCTTTCGAAATTTAGATTTTGCATTTGGAAAACTTAATATTATATGATGTAAAACTTTAAATAGTTTTTAATAAATATTTAAGTTTTTTTGGAGGCTATTGTTATGAAGCTTAATTTTTAGTTTGGATTTAATCAGCGAGCAATTCTTCAATTATTAACATTTTATTCCGCACCACTTAATTTTAATCATCGCCCACTGGGCTTTTTTACTCTCCACAAGATAACAGGGACGTGAAGATAACAGTGATGATAACAACCAAACAAGTGATGGGACCAACAACAAAACATGAATGTAACAACAAACAGTTGATGATAACATCAAACAGTGCCATGATAACAACACAACAAGATGATGATTATAACAAAAACGTGATTGAATAAACAACATACAGTGATGATAACAACAAACAGTGATGATAACAACAAACAGTCGATTTTTGATAAAACAAACAAACATTATCAACAACCACCGTTGATGAAATCATTTAATACAAAATCTTTTAATTATTGGACAACTGAGGCATGTCACAAAGTTTTCATAAACAAAGGGATGATTTTTTTTTTTTTGGCTTAAGAGTAGCACCCCAAGTAAATAGATTAGGCAAAAAAGGACTCGTTTGAAACAGAAGATCCATTTCTTTCAACACGTTTCGCTAGGGGTAAGAGTTTTCCATCCGTGAAAAACGTGTATGTTTTTTGTAACAAAACGCTCGGAACGCTTGTTATCACTCTTTTTCTATTCATCCAGGAATCCTATGACATGCATTAGGATTCTGGTTTGAATTCCCTTGGATATGAATAGGTTTCGTATTCCCCATCCTATTTTAATTTAATCTTTAATGTAGGGAAAACGATACATTTAACATTTATTATGACAAACCAGATTATGGCTGATCAACTTATCAATCAACAGTAAGGAAACAGAAAGTATACTAGCCGGATGGAGGAATTAACGAACGTTAAACATTTATAGATCAACGCTTTAAGAATATTTAATTGTACTTTTCAGAGGAGGAAGCAGTGGTCAGATGTAGTATTTAAGGCTTTATTGTTTACTGCGTTCAAAGTTGCGGACCTGAGGAGCTTACCTAAGGTCTAAATGTCTTGATTTAAATAAAACTCTGCACAAGTTTTCACAATAATATAGCTTTAGCTGCAGAGTGTCTGTGTTTGGAATGTTGCGCATTTTAACTTGCTTGCATGAAAGATTTGGTAGTGGTGGTGGTGATGATGGTAGTGGTGGTGGTGTCTGATCGGTAGTGGTGGTGGTGACTGATGGTTATTAGTGGTGGGTGGTGAACTTTGTTGGTAGTGGTGTCTGGTCGGTAGTGGTGGTGGGTTGACTGATGGGTAGTGGTGGTTGGTGACTGATGGTAGTGGGTGGTGGTGATTGATGGTAGTGGTGGTGGTCGGGGACTGATTGTAGTGGTGGTGGTGGACTGATGGTTAGTGGTGGTGGTGATGATGGTTGGGTGGTGGTGACTGGTATGGTAGTGTTGGTTGGTGTCTGAGCGTTGTGGTTGGTGGTGACTAGTGCGTAGTTTGGTGAGGTAGGTGACTGATGGTCATGATGGTGGGTGGTTAGACTGATGGTAGTGGTGTGGTGGTGGACTGATGGTAGTGGTGGTGGTGGGACTGATGGGTAGTGGTAGGTGGTGGACTGATGTTTTAGGAAGTGCATTAGGTGGTTGACTTGATTGTTTTTAGTGGTGGGGGTGACTGATGGTGAGGTGGTGGTGGTCGGAATGATGGTAGTGGTGGTAAGGTGACTGATGGTAGTGGTGGTGGTGAATGATGGTAGTGGTGGTAGGTGGAAC